AATTACTGAGACAGGTCAATTCATGTAATGTCCATTCGGGAAAATGTCCATTCAGTAAATGGAGATTTGGGATCTGTGGGACCCCAAAATTTGAATTTGGGATCTGTGGTGACCCAAAAGTTTAATTTGGGATCTGTGGGGCCCCAAAATTTGTATTTGGGATCTGTGGTGCCCCAAAATTTTAATTTGGGAGCTATGGTGCCCCAAAATTTGAATTTGGGATCTGCGGTGCCCCAAAATTCGAATTTGGGAGCTGTGGTGCCCCAAACTATACTACGGACAGACGGACGCCAAAGTGAAACTATAAGGCTTTCGGCCATGGGCCACGAAACCCTAAAAATTGTTTCTCATTTGATTTTAATTTTTTTTAATCTCCGATTTGTTGAGAACATTTTTTGTTGATTCAAATAAACATTATTTGGTTCTAATGAATATTTATTTGGTAAGTAACGGAATATTTGAATTAATTAAAAGAATCTGAAGTGACAGTAAATATAAAATAAAATACCTTAAATAAAATAACATAAAATAAAATTTATTAATAAATAGAAATAAATTTGCGAATAAAAAACTAGTATTTTATTATCATTAAAAATATTACAAATTTGAGGCAAACAAAATATATTTTAAATAACATTATTTACCTGTTTCATGTGTTTAAGTAATCGAAATTCAGTTAGTAATAAAAAAAATTAAATAATAAAAAGTGATAAAAAAAACACAATAAAAAAATTGATGCAGCTCGTTTTTTTTCTCTTTTTATAGGACTTATTTTGCAAATTGATGAATGAAAGATGAAATTTTATTTATGAGTTTTTGCTATCAGCGTTTATTAGCAATTATGAACGAATTTTATATCCAATTTTAATATTTATTCCTATTTTTAAAATTATTTAATAAATAACAAATAAATGCAAACAAGTCTAAAATTAAATAAAATAAATTATTTAACTAAGTGAAACTTGAATTACTTTTGTTTTTTTAACCCTGGACAATTTCCAATTTTCAGGGTTGCTACAAAAATTTGATATTGAAATTCCATGACTTCCATGTTTTCCAGGTCTATAGTTTCAAAAATTTCCAAGTAAATTTTACACATGAATTTATCGTATAAGTTTCTAATTATTTTATTAATTATTGATAAATTTTCAATTTATTTTCTATAAATACACAACCAATCAAAATATTTTAAGTTTACCCATTTTTTAATGAATAAAAAATATAAAATCTATGGAAACTAAACATATTTTGGTTATTTTTAAAAAAAAATATAAATAAATAATAAAAAATAAAATGAAAATACCTTCAAAATATATAAACCTAAGAACATGAGGAAACGTTAAATATTTTTAAACTTATTTAAATTTTTATGAAATATTGAAAATGACAACTGAAATTCGTATAAAAAAATAAAAATTTGTCAAAATCAGGGGATTTGGATAAATTCCTGGAATTTCATTTATTTTGCTTTATAAAACCTGGTATGTTAAAAAATAATGTTTTTTCATTATAAAATAAATATATAATTATTATTTTACGAATGTTCGAGTTTTTAGTTGAAATTTTTTTTAAAAAAAAGTTAAAATTAATAAAATTCCTGGTTAAATTTGAAAATTCTATGACTTCCAGGTTTTCCAGGCCCTTTTTAAAAATCCATGACTTTTCCAAGTTTTTCAGGTCCTGTAGCAACCCTGAATTTCTGATCGATAGCACGAATAAACTTGGAAATTCTCTTATTTTGCGTATGCTGATTCAAGAGGGCGTAATCGAAATACTGCATTGTTTGCAGATATCCAGTTGGGTATGCGCAATGCCATACGTAGTACACACTAAATAATAATAATACTGCTTTTGTCGCATCAGGATCTTCAACCTTAATTCTGGCTTCATCGCACAAAACAAAGACTTCAGCAATTTTCATCCCTGCTGTATAGACAACAAGCCTTGGTGAAGAATTTGGCGCCGTTAATAAAGCAGCTGTACTCTTTCCTGCCTATTTGAAAAATTTATTTTTACAACAAATGTACAACTTTAAATTAATTAAACAGTTTCATCACGGTTACCACGAGAATCCATTTGTTAATTTCCCTGACTTTTCCTTGAAATTAAGAATTTTTCTCTGGCAGAAAATTTTTATTACAAATAACAAATTTTAACAAGTTATAAAGTTAAAAAACATTTCCCAATTAATTTCATTGATTCTTTGATTCTAAAATTTTTTTTAAGAATTTAATTATTTTTATATTTTTGATTTTATTCAATTTGAAAAATTTCCCTAAAATTCTTTATTTTCCTGACATTTCCCTGACAAAAGAAAAATTTCCCCACACTTTTCTGACACCGTGGCAACTCTGTTAATCTAAACAATCATTCAAATTTTAATTCAAAGACTTTAGATTACCTCTTCAATTGTGATCAATTCTTCGTTCAATTTGCGAAACTTTGTAAGCGTCAGAGTATCATGGAGCTTTTTAACAGATTCAATTTTATCAACCTCACTTTTAATTTGAATTTCAAAATAACTTGCCAGTCTTTCTATCATCTGATTTACAGAAACTCGCAAGGAAGCTTCATCTTTGTCCCGGAGAAGAGAAAAGTCGAGTATAATCTAAAATAAAGATATGTTTAAAAAAATGATTGCAAAGCTTATTTGAAGGAAAAAAAACATTTTTATTGATTATATAACCAAATAATAGGCCTGTGCGGAAAACCGGTATACCGGTTTTTTCCCGGTATTTTTGGAAACCGGTTTCCAGTTTTGACATCCCGGTTTTCGGTTTTATTTTTAAAACCGGTATTTTAAAAAATACCGGTGTTATTTTTTATACCGGTTTTTCAAAAAATACTGGTTATTCAATAAATAAAAAATATGCTCCAAAACTAAAATAAAAAATTCAATTTTGTAAATATTATTGTGGTAACTATTTAAACCATCAGATTCGTAATTTAATAAGTCATTTAAGAACTATTTATTCCATATACTTAGTTATGGGTCTACAAATTCCATTTTTCATTAATTAATTAATAAGATTATGAATAATATAAAGTTTTTAAAGAATTTTTTTTAAAAAAATGGAACTTATACACATTAAATTTTTAAATTAAAATATAAAGAATTTAGTATTGAATATTTTACTTAACTGATCAATTATTTAAAAAACTGTTTTTTTAAACCTGATTTTTATAATATTATAAATTATAACTTTCCCTAAAACGGGTTTTTTTTCAAAACCTGGTTTTTTCTTTATAAAAATATTTTTAAAAAAACCGGTATTTTAAAAAATACCGGTTTCGGTTTTAATACCGAAAACCTATGACAAAACCGGTTTTTTCAAAAACCAAAAACCGGTTTTGGATTTTCAATACCGGACAGGCCTACGGCAAATATATTTTGAGCGTATTTTAACTCAACGAAATTAGCATTAAGTAGAAGTTTTTCTTAACTTATTTTTTAATTCAATTTTTGTTGTACAATTTTTAATTGTTTTGTATTTAATTGCATTTAACCGAATTTTCATTTAATTTCATAGAAATTGTTTTAGTTTTGGGCTTAGAAAGAATATAATTAAATATACGTACTGCTGCATACGATTGAAGCTGAGGATATTTCTTGACAATATCCTCCACCCTGTTGAAAATTCCTATGTGAGAACACATATGGGATCCCATCCAGGATCTCTTGTGAGTTCTTATGTGGGTTCCCATACAGGTTCACACATAAGATCCTGTATGAAAAGGTTCCTGGGATGAACTTGCGTGAGATCAAGCGCACGATCTTATGTCTCTGTAAAAGCAATAACACAGGATCCCATGAGGTTTCCTGTGTAGGTTCCTATATGAACAACACGATAAATAGGAACACACATGGGATCTTATCCGAGATCTTGTATGAGTTCTTACATAGGTTCTCACATATAAGAAGATTAATAGCATATATATAAAAGCATTCTATAAAATCTTATTAAGCTGCTATTAATCTTCTTATATGTGAGAACCTATGTAAGAACTCATACAAGATCTCGGATAAGATCCCATGTGTGTTCCTATTTATCGTGTTGTTCATATAGGAACCTACACAGGAAACCTCATGGGATCCTGTGTTATTGCTTTTACAGAGACATAAGATCGTGCGCTTGATCTCACGCAAGTTCATCCCAGGAACCTTTTCATACAGGATCTTATGTGTGAACCTGTATGGGAACCCACATAAGAACTCACAAGAGATCCTGGATGGGATCCCATATGTGTTCTCACATAGGAATTTTCAACAGGGCACATTTTTCGATTCGTCCACAATCCACGTTCTTCTTTGAATGTGTGTTTCCCTCAGTAGTCGTAATACATGATTTGATTTGTCATCAGAAGCAGAACAGTTTTTTAAAGCTGTCATAGCTTCAACGTGGTCAATTTGGCCACCAAATTTCATTCTCTTCACAGGTGTGGAATTCAAATCTGAACTATTTTGTTTTTTTCCCGATTTATTTAATGCTAAAGTTTGCTGACGTCGATTGCGAATTACTGTTGATATTTGAGACTTCAGAACGTCCTATTGACTTTGAAGTCGACGGGATACACTCGTCAAATTCTTCCTGTAAGAAATATATTTATAGTAATAATTTTATCTGATATAATACTTATTTTTACAGAATTAATCAAATGAAAAGAAAATTATACTAACCTCAAGGTCAATGACTTCGTTGAGAAAACTGTTCTTTAGGACATTTTCGTCAATTTCGGAATTTTCGAAACTTGTTAGAATTTTACAATCTTTCTTTTCTTCTGCATTTGGTTTTGGAATTAATAAAACATTCAAGACACTCTCGTTTTCGACAGATTCTTGCGAGTCGAGATCACAGTAGTGATTAATTTTGTGGTTTTCTTGTTGTAAAATCAAAAATTTATTTTTAAACAACAGATGGAGCGATTGATCAAATCTCTGTCAAATTAATTAATCATTAAGCAGCACTGTGAATGCAGCTTTACAATTGACTCAAACCGTCCTTTACAGTTCTTAACTTTTCCATTAAGTTTGCCATCTCAGACAAATTTAAAATCACCGCGCCGAAACGTTTGTTTTTCTCTACACAAATGTTACAATAATTCGTTTTTCTTTTAAATTGATTATTAAAAGTGTTCAAAATGCCGGTAAAATCAGTGTATTGTAAAATTAGCACCGGCGATCAAACCCGTTGTAAAAAAGTCAAGTTTGAAAAACACGAAGATGACAGTGATTGTCAAAAAATCACAGAAGCACTTTTAAATAGTGCTAAAAAAGATGTAGCTCTCGATGCGACATTGAGAAATAAATTTTTGGTTCTACAACAAGAAAACCAGAAACTAAACCAATACTGCGATCTCGACTCACAAGAATCAGTTGCAAATGAGAGTATTTTAAATGTTCTATTAATCTCAAAGCAAAAAGCAGATGATAAATCTGACGAAACTTCGACATGTGATTACAAAGTTGTAGCAACCTACGAAAATCCTGTATTCGACGAAAATATCGTGCACAAAAGTGTTTCCAACTTAATTATTGAGTTTGAGGTAAGTATAATTTTATGATAAATTCTATAAAAATAAATATTATAACCGACAAAATTACTAATATCAATACACTTTTTAACAGGAAGAACTTTACGAATGTGACCCGTCGATTTCAAAGCCAAAAAGGCGTTCTTTTCAAACACCTCGTGTTAACTATCCGGCAGATTTACCACCGTTGCCTCAAAAACTACAACAAATAAAAGACAAAAATAAAGTATATGAATGCCAGTTGCAATTCATATTTTTGAGGTCCACTCATCTGGAATCTTTAACCGATGGATGGCCAACGAAAACAGAATACTTCAACTATTGCAAAACGATCGTCGATTTTTTTCCCGAGCTAAAAGGAGGCACTAAAAACAATTTTGTATGTATTTAATAAATTTCTTGTAAGCCTAGTTAAATTATGATTGAATAAATTAATTCATCTGGTGTTTTGTAGGATGTTCTGAAAAATCAGATATCAACAGCCATTCGCAATCGACGATATCATCAAAATCAAAAATTAAAAAAAACTGGAGAAAAACGAAAAAGTTCAGAGTTGTGTTCCGCACCTGCGAAGAAAATGAAAGTTAGTGACCAAGTTGACAATGCTGAAGCTATGACGGCTTTAAAAAACTGTAGTTCTTCTGATAACTCAAACCACGTTCAACGACTTTTGAGGGAAACTTACGATCAACGAAGAATGTGGATTGTAGACGAAGCGAAAAATGTGCGGGATATCATCCAAAAATGGCCGCAGCTTCAATCGTATGCAGCAGTAAGTATATTAACTTCTCCTGTTTTCTTTATTTATCCTCTAAAATAAAGAAAAATTAAACACACTACACACTCTCTCGTTTAAAATAAAAAGATTAGTTTTTTTAAATCCCCTAAAATAAAGAAAAATTGAACACACTACACACTCTCTCATTTAAAATAAAAAGATTAGTTTTTTTAGAATTTAATCGAAATTCAATTTTATTACATTTAAAAGTGCTTAGATTAAAAGCAACTTTTGCTGTATAAACATTTTAAAAAATAAAAATTAAGTAAAAATATAAAAAAATAAAAATTCAGATAAAATTTTTTACCAATAAAAATACGTCTCTATAAAATTTAAATTGAAAATTCGCCTAAATACTAATTAGTTTTAAGTTAAAATACGCTCAAACACATATTTATTTATATAAAGTACAAAAAAGCATTAGTTACATTTTAACATAAAATAAACTTTGCAATATTTTTTTAAACATCTTTTTATTCCAGATTATACTTGACTTTTCTCTTCTCCGGAAGAAAGATGAAGCTTCCTTGCTAGAGTTAGTAAATAAGATGATAGACAAAGTTGCAATTCATTTTGAAATGAAAATTGAAAGTGAAGTTCAAAAAATTCAAGCAGTTAAAAAGCTGCATGAAACTCTGTCCCATGCAAAATTTCGAAAGTTAAATGAAGATTTAATCACAATTGAGGAGGTAATGTGATATTCTTAATTAAAATTTGAATAATCATTTTGATAAAACTGTGTTGTTAATCAAGTCGAATATTCTTTGTAAAAAGCATTTTTATTTTTGAATAGGCAGAAAAGGATAGATCTGCATTGTTAACTGCACCAAATTCTTCTCCAAGGCTTGTTGTCTATACAGCGGAGGGAAGATTTGCCGAGGTCTTCGTTTTGTGCGATGGAGCCAGAGTTAAAATTGAAGATCCTGATGCGACAAAGGCAATATTGTTATTATTCAGTGTGTACTACGTATGGCGTTGTGATTTCCCGTCAGGTTATCTGCACACAATGCAATATTTCGATTATGCGATATTGGGCCTGTTACCAGCTCACAATACGAAAATCGCTAGATTTCTTCGCGATGTAGATCACAAACTAAACACCAATTTTTCAGGGGTTAAACAAAAGTAATTTCTGTTCCATTTAAGTAAATAATTTATTTTATTTTCTATGTTACCGATACTGTATTTAAATTGCTTTTTTAAATTTAAAATTAAATTTTCACTCTTTAGTTTAGGTGATAAGAATTTTATGTTTTAAATTTTCTAAAAAGTACAGTTTTATATAAAAGTAAAAAGATTAGTTATAGGTTTTCTAATCTATAAAGTATTTATTTCAAAAGTATAGAACTTTGATTAAACGATATTTTGAAATTACACAAAAATAAAAATTTATTTTATAAAACAAATTGCCTAAACTTTTTTTTATGAAATAAAGATAATTTAATTTTGGGGAATTTTTAAAAATAATTTAATTTTGATAAAACTTCATTTAAGTTTCTGAAAAGTTAATGGATTCCAAGAAATTTTATCCTAATATCAGGGGTCACAGTGTCATTTCCACTCAAAATAAGGGGAAAAGGGGATTTTCAAGCAAGAAAAAAAGGGATTTTTCTTAAAAAAAGGGGATTTTGAAAATCAAGAAAAAAGTTATCAATTTATCAAAATCTCGAATTCTTGATGTAAGATGCTTTACATATGGGTCAGTCTAGCGAAAATGATCTAAAACTGGTTACACGATGAATTTCAAAATTCCTGAAATGAATATATAATTTTCTAGGATACAATTTGATGATCATTTGATGTTTTCTTCTGCCAAATATGTTTTAGTTTTTTTTAAATAGCTTTTTGAAAAAGTCAATAGATTATAAGGTTATAAATCGTCAATTTTACAACGATGCAGAAAAAATCGTTGTAAATTAGAAAAAGTATTTAATATATATTTTTTACCGTAAATATTTAATTATTATATCCAAATAAATGTAAATTATTTGAAATTTACTCACTTAAATATTTAAATTACATTTTTCGCGTTTCTGCAAAGTGTTGAATTATGTTTTTTTCTTCTTCGAATATTTTCCTTTAAGAAAAAAGAAAACTCAAAAAATATTTTGAAATTCGTTTGTATTAGTCACAAACAGATTCCAAGTGGAACTTCGATAGAACCTCGTCTCGTTATTATTTTATAAAAACTAGAAAAATGTGCAAATTTAACCTGATTTGAATACATTTTTCTAGTTTTTATAAAATAATAAAATTATAATATAATTGTAAATTATAAAATAATAACGAGACGAGGTTCCATCGAAGCTCCACTTGGAATCTGTTTGTGACTTTAATATAAACGAATTTCAAGAGACTTTTTGAGTTTTCGTTGTTCTACAAGGAAAATTTTCGAATAGGAAAAAACTTTAATTTAACACTTTGCAGAAACGCAAAAAATGCAATTTAAATATTTAAGTGAGTAATTTTCAAATAATTTACATGTATTTAGGTATAATAATAAAATATATAAGATAAAAAATATGTTTTAAATACTTTTTCTAATTTACAACAATTTTTCCTGCATCGTTGTAAAATAGACGATTTATAACCTTATAATCTATTGCCTTTTTCAAAAAGCTATTTAAAAAAAACTAAAACATATTTGGCAGTATAAAACATCAAATGATCATCAAATTGTTATGGGAACAACTGTGTTGTTACCCATAAGCGTGGCTTGGAAGCCACTAGTCGTTTCGTCCCGGTCCCCACTACTGGACTCATCAGTAAGGCTACGTAGTGGGAAACCTGCCTTATACGACCATGGGGAAGTGAGAGTTGGATCGTGTATATATGCTACACGCCAAGCAACATCTACACTTGTGAGAGAGCACATGGGTATTGACCAATGGCAGAGACATCCATTGGCCAACCCCCACATTGTATCCTAGAAAATTATATATTGATTTTAGGCATTTTGAAATTTTATCGTGTAACCAGCTCTAGATGATTTTCACTAGACTGATCCTAATACATTTGCAATTAAAATAGTTGCCGATTTGATTACTTAAAAAAGTTTTTTGATAACTTTTTGGGACTTCGAAAATTTATCAAAATGTTTAACATTTTTCTAACAGAAACGTGACATTTTTGTAAGGATATCTAGAAAGAAATAGTGATACAAAATCACTTTAAAGGAGTTAACTTTTTAGAAATCCAAAAAAACAAAATAAAAACTTTTAAAAACAACACATATCGTAATTTTTAGTTTTACAAAAAAAATTACTGAAAAAAAGGGGAAGAGGGGAGAAAATTCTTGATTTTAGGGGGACAAAAAGGGGAAAAGGGGTAATAGGAGAAAAAGGGGAGGAACTGTGATCCCTGTAATATTTTAGAAATTTGTACTGCTGGAAACTCGACAAATTTTGGATTTTTTAAAAATTGAAAAATGTTTTAAATATTTAAATCTGGAAATAAGGTAACTAAATTTATTAAACAACATTAATTTTAAATTGAATTTTTATTAAAAAATTAATAATTAATGGACTTGAAAAGAGGTCAAATTCAAATTTTTCGAAATAATTGAAATATGTAAAAATTGTTATTTTTCATGAACGTTTTGATGAACGAATTTTTTTGCTTTTTTTATTTAATTTTATAACAAAATATTATTCATTTTTCAAAGAAAAAATTATTTATTTAAAATTGAATTAATTTTTCCATTTTTATTCGAGTACTAGAATTTGAAAAATACCTTTGTGGAAAAATAATTTCGATCATTTGAACATTTTAAATTTTAAACACATACAAAATATGAAAAATAACATGAATACGGCTTAACCGTAAAATTCTGTACGTTCATGGTCGAGAAGAATTACATATGTATCATTTTCACATTTGAATTGGGGTATGGCGTGAGGAAATAACAAATTCTTTAACGAAATGATATTGAGAGACAGAACACATGGCTTTTCCAGTTTGTAACTATTCAAAGATTCCACGTATTGCACCGTTTCCAATTTAATGTAAACCAACAAAACTTCGTCCTTGATAACGAAAATTTCTTTGATCAATCCGAACATTGGTAGCGAATCTTCATTGCACTCCAACAGAACAATGGAGCCAGGCTTGTATTCTGCTTCATGGGCTTTGACTCGAAGACATCGAACAATTTTGACTGTTTCTCGTTCCTCTTCTCTGATAAAATTGTCGAACAAATCCATATGTGGTAAGTTCCTCAGAAACACTCTCTGGCCAAAAACAATTTCGTCTCCTTGATATAAAAATCTTTTTGATTGGCTCCCAGGACAAGTAGCAAGTTGAGAACAAAGTCTAGCTTGATGGCGATAGCAGAAGGTTAGGGCCATATTTTTAAAATTTCTTACTACGGGTACCAATTGCTTGAATTTGCTCTTGGACATGTCAACTATATGGACATGTCAACTATTGCGACATGTCAACTATTGGGACATGTCAATTACTGAGACAGATCAACTACTGGGACATGTCAATTGTAGGGGCATGTTAACTAATGGGACATGTAATGTCCATTCATGTAATGTCCATTCGGGAAAATGTCCATTCAGTAAATGGAGATTTTAGATCTGTGGGGCCCCAAAATTTGAATTTGGGAGCTATGGTGCCCCAAAATTTGAATTTGGGATCTGTGGTGCCCCGAAATTCGAATTTGGAAGCTATGTATGCCCAAAATTCGAATTTGGGATCTGTGGTGCCCCAAAATTCGAATTTGGAAGCTATGTTTGCCCAAAATTCGAATTTGGGATCTGTGGTGCCCCAAAAGTTTAATTTGGGATCTGTGGGGCCCCAAAATTTGAATTTGGGATCTGTGGTGCCCCAAAATTTTAATTTGGGATCTGTGCCCTAAAATTTGATTTTGGGAGCTGTGGTGCCCCAAAATATACTACGGACAGACGGACGCCAAAGTGAATCTATAAGGCTTTCGGCCATGGGCCACGAAACCCTAACAAGCCCTGGAACAACAAAAAAGGTTGAAAATTACGAAAGTTATGCATTTTTTAAGAGAAAATTGCAAAAAAATTAATTTTTCTGACAAAATATTTAAAAAACCG